GAAGCTCCTCCCTTGTGGAGGAGCTACAACCAAGGACAGGCCACGATTGAATTCTTTGCAGATTTTTAATAAGGGCATTGAGCCGACGTCTCAGCATCTCACGAGAGACGTCGCATGAAAGCCAAGGTTTTGCTCCAGCTAAGTGTAAGACATTGGGCTGAAGAGGTGGCTTCCGCCACCCGGGTAATGAAACGAGCACTTACTCCTAGGAAGATGTTCTTGGAAGAGTCGAACCCCGCGGCAAAGATGCGGGCCGTGTACGGCTCGTTCCTGTCGCAGACGATCCGGCAGGCGAACCTGGAGATGGTGCTCTGGGTGATCTGGGCTTCGTCGTTGTTTTGGCTGCCGGAGATGGTGTCCGTGACGACAAAGTCGATAGGACTTTCCGTGGACCTGCCCACCTGCATGTGTCAAACACAGGGATGATGCATTGAGAAATGACCATTCTGCCACGCTTTGTTCCCGTTTATTAGCTCTGGGCTTTGGGGCTAGGATTTCATCTTTAGTTGCCTTCCTTCCTTTCCTGTTCAACTAAGGAGGACTTGTTAACCAGCTGCCAGCTTTCAAACCTTAAGGCAGTTTCATTTCTCAGCTCTTCCCCCAAACATGAGATGTTTTATCTCTTGGATCAGGTAGACATAGGACCTCCACAGCAAATAAGGGCTTTCTTTTTTTGGTCTTCTTATTTTTTGGATGGAAAAAGAAATGGCTTAAAAGATGAGAGAAAATAAAAGAACCCCCCCACCTTCTTTCCTCACTCTGACAAAATGTGCACCGCTGCCCCCGACCACCCCGCCCACCGCCGCCATCACACTGACTCTGACTCACGGTGACTCTCTAGGACTGCCCCTTGAGCGGTCTGGGGTCCTGAGTATTTATGGAAGCAGACAAGCCACATTTTTCTTCCATGGAACGGCTGCTAGGTTTGAACTGCCGACCACGTAGTTGCGTGACCCAACACCTGGCCCGCAGTGCCACCACGATTCGATGTAAGAAAGAATGATGTCAAACACTGAAAACAAAGTTTGTGATGCTGCCACATAAAAGATTTTTAAAAACTGGTCGATTTTAATTTTGAATGTTAAAAAATTCTCTTGGGAAAATCTGGAAAGTTGCCAGTTATAGTTTACGCGCTTGCTTTCCTTGCTAACTGTAACTGCTGCTAGAAAGGATCTATTTTATTAGGGCAATTTTAGACTTCAAACAGAGCTTTTCAAATTCAATAAATCTGAATATGACAGGTACTGCTCTCTCCCATGTTCTGGGAAGAATTCAATATTTGTTTACAAATAAGGAAATGCTCGGGTGGAATATTTAAAGTGTTTATGTAATTATGCTCTATAAATCTCCAACCGAAAGAAAAAAAAAAAGAAGATAAATGTTATATGTGCCACAGAGACTTCTTAAATTAAAATCATTTATATGCAAATGAGCCATTTCTCACTAAATACGACATTCATGTTCTCTCCAGCAACAGTGCCTGGAGCCCAGAGCCGCCAGTGGGAAGAACACACACAGGCCCCCAGAGGTGCACACATCAGCTCCCCCAAAAGGCCGGGTCCCCGGTATCTTTTTTCTGATCTCAAAATTCTGTCTGAAGCATGTGCAAAGTAATGCATTTTTTATCTCAATGAATAAAAGTGAATCTACCTACCTATCTCCCACGTATCACTTAGCTCTGCTTGCTATGTAAAATAAAATTAAATTTCTTCTGTACCGCTCGCAGATACATTCTCAAGCACAGGCTAGCTCAGGAAAGCCATCAGACAGGCTACATCTACGTCTTGGGGTTTTTTACAACCCTTCATTTCTTGTCCCAGTGAAATGTGCCTGGAATAAAGGGAACCGCTGGGTTCAGTGAGACTCATCAGCTTAAGGAGATGCAGACTGCCGAGATGTGTACACTTTAGGTCGAGAAAACATCAAGAACGCGCATAAAAATGCCACATCAGACCTAAATTGGAGACACTATAAAATCATCCTGTATACATCAGTTTTCTAAAGCTGCAAAATCTCTTCTGGACTGGATTCCTGTAGGCTGGGTCCGGAACTCCTCGGAAGCTCTCCCACATGAGACTGACTCACTGCTCTCATATGGTCTTAGATTTAGAGGTTCGGGTTCGAGTAGCGTATCACGCCTTATAATGTAGCAAGATAACAAATGCCTGTTGCAAAATATTGAAGAGATATTAAAAGAAAGAGGTCTGAAGAGCAGATGAAGGCTGGCTCCCAAACTTCATAACAAGCCCATCCGGGAGCTTTATTACAACGGCGCTCAGGAGTGAAATGTGCCTGGTTCTACGATGGCCCGCACATGGCACAAAACCTGAAGTGCCACTGTGAGCCAGCCTCTGTCCGAATGTCCACTGACCTCCATCGGGGAGGGAGACGACTTCTGAAGCTGTTACGGGCTCACAGCAAAAACTACCCGTTTCTAGAATGTCACATAGCTGTTACTTGTCTACAGAGATTACTGTCTCTGAGACAGGGCTGTGCTCTGGGTTCCTCCCAATGTCCTGCTGTCTTGATGAATTAACTGAAATTGACTGTAAAACATGAAATTGTATTCCAACGAGAACAGTCTGCTAAGATCAATTATTTCAAGTCATAATTCTTATCTGACTGCTCACTGGAGACGTGTCTATCAATTCACTTCCACTTCAAGTCTAACCCGGGGAGCGCGCATTTCATTCTACTCTTCAGGATTCAAGTCTCCTGTTGCTTTTTTGCCGGGGGAGGGTGGGGGAAGCTCTCTCTGACACCGCCCCCACCACACACCAAATCCTTTGGTGTGGAAAATTTGGAACCTGTTCTTTTGTTTTGACTATTGCATCGACTGCACCCAATTACTTAAAAAGCACAAGCCAGGATGAGTCATTTTCTTGATTGAATTTCATCTGGTATTCGCATAGTGCCGAGTCTCACAGTCAGCACGAGGGGAATTGCACCCCTTACTACTGTCACTCATGTAGTAAATATCACCAGCACCTCTAGCTTTATACACAGGCAGTCCCCAGGCTTATGATGTACTTGAATTACGAGGAACCATACTTAGGGTGTCCCCCACCCACTTTTGGGTGCATTTTATACCAGTGCTCCATACAACTATATACACAGTGTTGTAGGAGGCTGTTTGCTTCTTAGAGGAAAAAAGGTCAAGCCTTCCTCTCACGTCCTTTGGACCTGTTGTCAGGAGAGGTCAGTCCTGGGGAAGGACATCATGCTTGGTAAAGCGGAGGGGCAGTGGAAAGGCGGAGGGCCCTCAGGGAGATGGACTGTCACAATGGGCTCCCGCAGAGCAACAAACGTGAGGATGGTGCAGGACAGGACAGGTTTCCTTCTGCTGTACATCGGGGTCACTAGGATTGGAACAGACTCGATGGCACCCAACAACAATACACATTTTAATAACTATGTTGAGTTATTCTTGAACCGTGGTACATATTTTATATACATATGTATTTCATATGATCTATACAAGGGGGCACCCAAAAAAAAACACCCTGAAATTTCCCCCCAAAGCTATATATATGTGTGTGTGTATATATATATATATATATTTTTTTTTTTTTTTAACAAAACAACCTCATCACCTTCAAATTACTCTCCATTACACTTAATACACTGTCAAAATCTGTGATTCCATTCTTGAAAACACTTTTCAAATTCATCTGTTTGGACGGCTGACACCTCGCTGTTTGTTTTTTCACCTCTTCTCTGTCATCAAATGGCTGTCCTTTCATGTCCCTCTTCATTCGCGGAAACAAAAAGAAATTGCACAGAGTGAGGTCAGGTGCGTAGGCAAGAGAGGCATGCTGTTTTTTGCCAAAAACTGTCACCCTGAGATGGCTGCATGGGCAGGTGCATTGTCCTGGTGGCAAAACCAGTCCTGCCTGCCACAAATCAGGCCTTTTTGGTCACACGTCGTTATGCGATCTTTTCAGGATCTCTAAGTAGAAAGTTTGATTAGCAGTCTGACCTGGTAGAATGAACTCTGAATGCACTGTCCCCCTCACATCACACACTGTTTGTTTGGAGCCCCCCGTCTATGTAGACATTGCTACGAGCAGCTCCGTGCCTAATCTAGAGCATCTCGGGCTTCCTAACTATTGGGAAGAACGTAAGGACAACACAGCCTTTGATTCCTTGCATGAACGATCTCCTCTTTACACATTTCACTTTCTCAATAGTTAGAAGCCCTGGTGATGCTGTGGGGGAAGCACTGGATCCCTAACGACATGGTCGGTGATTCAAATCTGCCAGCCCGTCCTTAGAAGAAAGACAAGGCTGTTTGCTCACATAAGGACTGACTGGCTTGGAAACCATACACAGGAATGCGGTGCGTCAGAATTGACTTACTGGCAGTGGGTTGAGTTTGGTTTTGGGTCTCAATAATCGGGTCTCTCTCTCTCCTGTCATGCATCTAGGGTTGAACAGGGACGTTAATAGGTGGCAACTCAGGATCAGAAATGCTCAGGACACAGTTCTTTGGGCAAGACAGCCTTTGCTTAGTTGTGTCTTCAGGCAGGCCTCTCTCTGGTCCTTAGCCTCTCAGCCACATGGCCCTTTGGCAACTGTTAGAAAGCTCTTGTAGTGCAGTGATGCCCACTGTGTCAGTAACCTCAGCCCAAAGGTGCTCAGCGGTCTTGCTCCGCGGGCATCACTCTGTCTCTCGTCAGTCTCCTAGCTCTCTGGTGCCGCTCCTCACCTCTACTCCAGAAAATAATTCAGAGCCTCCTCGATCGTATGACCTCTGAAACGATCACACTTAATGTGTCCCTGTAATTCAGATCTGACTTGGAATTTCCCCCTCAGTCAAGATTTCCACATTTTAAGCCTATTACCTGATTTCACCGTGGGAAATGGAGCAAGTGCCGCTTTTCAATGCTCAATTAACTCAGAAATCAGTTTAATGGGCAATAGCTGAAATGATTGCCCCTCAACACTGAGGTTTATAATTGGGAAATGTGAATGTTACTGGAGACGAACTGATGCATTTGAATTATGGTGCTGATCAAAGAATGTGAAATAGACAGACCTTGGACTACCCGAAGAGTGAAAATCTCTCTCACTTGTAAGAAGTAAAGCCAGAATGCTGCTCCTCAGAGGATGGCAATACATTTTCTTCTGAGGTTTCTCTGGATTTATTGATTTATTTTTTCCAATTATTTTATTGGGGGCTCGTACAATTCTTATCACAATCCGTACATACACTGGATTTTTTATTATATGCAACTAACACTATTCCTGAACCTGTCCTATTCGGGAACAAAACTCTTTCATTATGTTTTCAGTGAAACTTTATACAGCAAATGAGGTTTTCACTTCACAATGGAAACAGTTTGTTCCATGACAGTGCACACATCTTTCCACGGTGTGCCACGTCCCCGTTCTGTCTCTGCTGGCTTTTCTGGTTCCGGCCCTGACCTCGCTCGCTGTCTTTCCTTCGGCATGCGTGCTGACTGGCTGGTCCCGTGTGGATGATTTTTAAAAGCAGCAACAACAGTCATGGATGATAATGCTTACTTTATGAACCAATCTGTGATTTACCTAGAAGCTGCCCTTAAGAAATAGTTAAGGTTCAAGGTTTAAAGGGTCTAGTTCCAGGGAGCCTCTCAGTACTAAACAGCCCGTATGTCTAGACTTTTTTTTTTTTAATTTGAGTCCTGTTCCTTTTTTGTTCCCATTCTGCCAGGGTCCATCTGCTTTGTCCCTGATTAGAAAGGTGGGATTGGCGGCCAGGCACTCTTTGGTTTCTGGGTAGATGGGGTGGTAATGGCTTTTGCAGCCAGGTTCCCAAAGGTTATTTGGTCTCCCACCCCTTTATAGGAAAAAAGAATTACTCAGCCCATCCACCCTCCCACCCTTGGCAATTACACATTAGTGTTATAACCCACAATCTAGGATCAAGTGTCGGAATCTGCTTTTGCGGTCCACTTGGATCGTTCCAATGCCCTGGCATTGCCCACTTTAGGACCCATTGGTACCGACTATGCGTCCTGCAGACGGGTTTCTCCTTTGTGCTTTTGCTTTTACTCTGGACATGCAGAAACCAAGAGCTACAACTTTGATGGCTCCTCACAAGCTACTCAGCAAACTAAGATGCAGAACATCAACTATTTATGGCAACTGACCAAGTTACCTCACCAGACTATGGTCCTGTGCCTTCAGGACTGGTGACCAACCCTGCCAGGAGTTTGGTTAAGCCTGAGAAATACGTTTGTGTGTGTGTGTGTGTGTGTGTGTACCTGCCCTATGTTGCTTTTCCCCCCTTTTTCAGATTTTCATTTAGGTTTATTCTAGACATCCAAAATTAATGGTTATATGTTCTTTAACCTAGAAATTGAGATACGAGACAGGAATCAAATTCTGAGTTTGTTGACAGGGATCAGCAGGGTGGTAAAGACTCCAGTGTGCAGAGCAGGGATGAGAATTGGGATTTTCCAGTGAGAAGATTTCCCATCCTGAGGAGCAATACATTTTATAAGGGCCTTCTTCCTTTTTTTAAAAAATTTACTAGCAGATTCTTTAATTTGCTTATTTATTTTCAATTTTCCATTTAGCATGTTTTATTTATAAATTTTTGATATTGTCTTTCTGTCACTGACTTCCCTCCTCCTTTATTTATTTATTTTTAATCATTTTATTGAGGGCTCGTACAATGCTTATCACAATCCATACATCCACATCCATTGTGTCGAGCACATATGTACATTTGTTGCCATCATCATTCTCAAAACATCTGCTTTCCACTTGAGCCCCTGGCATCAGCTCATTTTCCCCTCTCCTTCCTTGTTCCCCCCCCTCATGAGCTCTAGATAATTTACAAGCCATTATTATTTTGTCATATCTTAGTCCAACGTCTCCCTTCACCCACTTTTCTGTTGACCGACCTCCAGAGAGGAGGTTATATGTAGATCCTTGTAATCGATTCCCCCTTTCTACCCCATCTTCCCTCCACCCTCCCGGTATCGCCACTCTCACCACTGGACCTGAGGGGTTCATTCGTCCTGAATTCCCCGTGTTTCCAGTTCCTATCTGTACCACCAATGTACATCCTCCGTCCAGCTGGGTTTTTTAGGTAGAATTGGGATCATGATAGTTGGGGGGGAGGAACCATTTAAGAAGTAGAGGAGAGTTGTATGTTTCATTGTTGCTACACTGTCCCCTGACTGGCTCGTCTCCTCCCCGAAACCCTTCTGTAACGGGATGTCCAGTTGCCCACAAATGGCCTTTGGGTCCCCACTTTGCTTGCACTCCTCCTCTTTCACGATGATGTGATTTTTGTTCCTTGATGCTTGATACCTGATCCCTTCGACACCTCGTGATCACACAGGCTGGTGTGCTTCTTCCTTGTGGGCTCTGATGCTTCTGAGCTAGATGGCTGCTTATTTACCCTCAAGCCTTTAAGACCCCAGATGCTATATCTTTTGATAGCCGGGCACCATCAGCTTTTTTCACTACACTTGCTTATGCCACCATTTGTCCTCAGTGATCTTATTGGGAAGGCGAGCACAAAATGATATGATTTTTCCTTCTTTGATGGCTGAAACCTGATTCATTTGACACCATGTGATCAAACCTATGTGTTTTAATGTATCTATGAATAAACATGGATGCACATACTGACATATATAGGTAAGTGTGTACACCTATCTATAAGCACCCACATTCATATACTTATAAATACATGCATACAGTTTACATACATACATGCACATATAACCACACTCCTCTATTTTTCAGTTGTTGCACATTTTTCAAACACATCCTTTTTTCCTGCACACGTCTTAGTGATGCCACGGACTTCCCCCGCTGTGCACCGTCTGCCACATTAGTGTTAAAGGACTGCCACCTCCAAAAACACTTCTCGAGGTAGCGGCTTCACGCTTCATCTTTAATTTCTAAACTACTGAAACCCACTGAAGGCTATCGATACATTTTCTTCAGAGTGTGATGTTACTCCCACGTCCTGAGTTTTACTATATAATATTCCCAGCAATTTTTGGAAAGACCTTTCATTGTGATTTCAAATCCTCTTTGATCCATGTGAGATACAGGCAGGAATTTGAACATGTTGGCCTTTAAGAAGCAACTGCACTTGAACGCCTTATTCTGGTCGTTCATTTCTACTCTGATGGCATTCAGAGCTGAGAATCCAGTTTGAGCACTTTTTGGCAATTTCAGAGTTAATAAATCTGTTCTGAGCCTTTCAAACACCAAACCTTTCAAACATCAAATCATGTTTATATTTATTTCCATCTCTTTGTTTGTCCCTGGATATGGCCATATCTATTGTATTCAAAGTTCACTACATGTGAAGAAAACATAGATGTGAAGGGAAAATACACTAACGTTTTCGTGACAGAAAATGACGTTACCTGAAACATATCCGTATCTTTATCGTGTGTGTACTCGACCACCACAGTCTGATTCCTCGACAGCGTGTAGGAAATGCTGTGCTGACCTTTGCAGCTGATAGCCTGAAATGAAAAAAGAACCAAAACTCATGAAACTGTCAGTCCATACCAGACTTCTGTTTGTAATTGTTTCATATGCCTGGGAAAGCCGGGCAGGAGCAGGGAGACCGCAGGAGAAGTCGCTGCGTTTGCATGATGGTCTAGCAGGTACGGTGAGCTGCCAGGAGACGGAACGGATCTGGCTTAGGGGAAGTACAGCCAGAATGTTCCTGAGAGGCAAGGAGGGGAGGCTTCCTTGCTCGTCCTCTGGGCCTGCTTTCAGGAGAGGTCCGTGCTGGAGGAGGAGATCATGCTTGGTAAAGCACACAGTCCGCAGAAAATGATCCATCAAGGGGATGGATTGACCCAGTCAACGGGCTCAAGTGTGACGACGATTGTTAAGGTGGCACAGGACTGGGCAGTGTTTCATTCTGCTGAGCCGTGGGTCGCCAGGAGTCGGAATCGACCTGACGGGACCTAGTGACAGCAGCACTTCAAAGAGTCAGGAGTCATATTTAGAAGCCCGTCCAAAACAAGTGAGGTTTTCTCAGCAGCTGAACCCTGTGATTATGTTCCGTATCCTGGGTCACAGGTGTGCCAATTGCCCTAATTTTGAATTTATTAAATATTACATCTTTGTGGGCAATATTTTATTTATATTAAATAAAAGTTTATCTACTGCATATATTCCTTTATGCATATTCCTGGAAAACTGTATATACTTCCTTCCTATTACCTCACCTAACAGATTGTCAATAACATTTGTTATAGTATTTTTCTTGGGTATCAAAGATTTTTATAAAAATGCTGAGAAATGAATCATCT